CCAATCAAACTGACGCTGTCAAATAGGGCCGAAGTGTGAAAATACCCCAGAGCAGCATCGCAAACCCCTCCTCTCCCAGACACAAATCCCTCCTTGTTTCCCCAAAATCCGTTGGCATGGCTCACCTTGAATCCCCGACCTCTCCCCGTCTATATGTGCCCTCATAGTCTAGATCCACCACCCCGCTCTCCTCCCTCGTCTCCCGCAGCGCAGTCCACGCCTGCCCGGTCTACATTGGTACAAGCAGTTCTGCTCACACGGAATCCGGCATTGCGCCTTCGTCCCCAGATCCACCGCCTTCTGTTGGCTGATCAATAGCATCACCTTCTCTCTGTCTCCATCTGTCTGGTGTAAGTAGCCCCCTTTTTAGGCTATATACTAGTTTGATTTAGCCATGGCGTCTATTTTGTTTCTCTCACATTGAGACTGTGATATGTTTTCTTATCAACTTACACTCATTTCTGCTCTACTACATATGCACTTGTGAGAAGGCAGATTTAGCCCTCATAGACTTTTCTATTGTGTTAAGCTGGAGGAAGATTTGGTAAAAACTGTCTTTTACTTGAAATAAAAAGGAGGAAACATTTTACTATAGTTCTTTATACCATGTGCAGGTGCTGGTATGCAGCATTTCCACATTTTCCTATGTGAAATCACCCTAGTCTTCGATATATTCCGTGATGTAGTAGCCATCCAACATGGAGTGTGATCTGTTCCTTATGTGATTTTGATTTTGGGTGTAATATTCTGCTCTAGTACATTATAAAAATATAACTGGCTCATTGATTTGGTGTTAGTATGACAAGATGATCTGTAAATGTAAGTACCGAGTACAATATCTGTGCACTAGGAAATGAGAAGCCGGCATTGGTAAAACCTGTTAATGTAGCTTGCTTGAGAGTGGCTTGAGACAATCTTATAGCTGATCCATCCTTTTTTTGTAACCACCAAACTATCTTTTGGCAGACTGTACTTGCATGCATAGTTGTTGATCGCGTGGTGAACCTCCCACTGACAAATAGTTGAACCCACCACAGAATTTATAGTCTCTAGAACGGTGTTTCCTTCTCATTTATTTGCTGCAGAGTATTTCCAGATCTTAAAATTAGTTAGATCAGATGGATAATGATGATATGTCAAACTCTGAACTTAGAGGGGTTCAGAGGTGAGCAAAATTCAGAAATCCTTAGAGATTAACCCCTAATTCAGAGCGGGTTTGCTTGGGTTTGTATTAAGCGAAGAGGAAACTAGAGCCTGACCCACTCTAGTGGCGGCTAGGGTTTATCCCTTTACAATTCGATGCCTCTCTCGGCTGGAAACCCCTGGCTTTATAGCAATTACAGTCCAAGAGTTGGTAAAGTAAAAAAGAAGAGATAAACATGACAGGTTAAGGTACAGTAATTGGTACCTAAAGGGAAATTAAATCGCAGCCATCGAATAGAGATCTGATACGGGTTACTCTGCTTCAGTTCAGTTGGTACCGCTTTGCCGGTGCACCTCGACCGTTGATTCTCGAACTGGATGATCTTGTTGATTGTAGCTATTCTCGAAAGGGAAACAGTAACTGAAGGTGGCATATCCTTCAGATATTCAGATGAGGCCTGACATGATAACGTTAATCTTTTGGCTATCTGATGAATATCTTAAATGATCTAATCGGTAGAACTGTCGAGCAGTCTGTTGCTCTGTCGTGGAATCATACAGATTTTATGTTAAGGTAGCCAGTTCATTTTTTTGTTCCGTATTTATTATCGATGGCAGCGTAAATAAAGATAGTTTGGCTGTTCATATTGATTTTGTATCTATTCTTAGGTCAGACTGCCATAGTCCTACAAATAATATCTGTTCAGATCTGAACAAAATTCCTCACAAAGTCGCACTTGTTGTTAATTAGTCTTTGTAATTAATCTGAACAAGGTTTCTTACTCGTGCAACAACAATTGTGTTTCCCCATGGTTGTACTATCTGTCCACTGAAATTGCTGATGTTGGCGCACTCATTTCACAGATGCAGTTCTTCATCAAGACCCTCGCGGGCAGGACGATCACTGTCAAGGTCGATCCAGGGGACACCATCTATATTGTCAAGGCGAAGATTCAGGATCAACAGCGGCTTATGTTTGGCAGGGAGGAGCTGGAGGATGGGTTAACTCTGGCTGATTACGACATTGACGATGAATGCACCCTTCACTTTGATCTGCGGCCCCAGAGAAGGAAGATGCTAATCATAATTAAAACGTTGACAGGCAAGATCTTCGCTCTTGAGGTCGATAACTTGGAAACAGTCGACAGTGTCAAGGCTAAGATACAAGTTGACGAGGGCATTCCTGTGGACCAGCATAGGCTCATCTTTGCTGGGAAACAGATGGAAGACTTTCGCACCCTGGGGATCACCTGGTGCTCCGCCTGCGTGCCTGACTAGCGAGTGCTACCAAGACTTTCTTCCCAGTATGCTTCAGATTCTTTCTGTTTGCAAATTGTCCAGCCGTGCGGAAACCTGCGTAAGAGCGTGCAGGCTACAATCAGTATGTCAGAAGTATTTGCTACCTGCAGGCTACAATCAGTATGGTCGAAATGTACGTCATGTGCCTTTCTGTCTCGCCCTGTGGTGCCAGTGAAAAAGCAGACGTGGCCAAAGAGCGCCGGTTAATGTTGTTCGAAGTACGTATTTGCTACGAGCACTCTGTTATCAAGAATCAAAGCGTTTGCTACTGCATTGCTGAAATTTTGCCTGCTAATGTCTTTATAGCATGAAGTAGCTTCCTTGGCTTGCTTATTTTGCTTGAGGGTATTTCATGAATTTACACAACCCTGCGGTAATGGTCCACGCACATTACCAGATTTACTCAGAAATCCAGAAACACACAAGAGCATTGCATATTTTTTCTAAATTTTGACAACCATATTCATGTAAAGCAGCGCTCACAGTTGTATATTGGACAGGGAGTATTTCTTACAGGAAACTTGGGAGACATTTTAGATCGTTGTGTAAAAAAATATAAACAACCAACAAGTACAGCAAGCATGAACAAATTTGTTTGACTTGCCTCTAATGCTTTGGCCCGACACCGCCACTCGCAAAGAGCCCCGCAGAACTACAGATAAATCCGCATACTCTTAATTTTTTTGGTATTCATTCACTAATGAGAAGGAACGGAGGAACGTGATTACGATAATCTGGAGGATTTGGCAGCTAAGGAATGATCAATTGCATGATAAACCAGTTCCACCAATGACAATAATAACAAAGATATTTTTTCGCAAATATGCTTTACAGGGTATCATTGCAATGATAGAGGGAACAAAGATTTTTTTTCCGTCTAGTTACATGAGCTCTTTGTCTCAAATTCAGTGCAAGGACGGCCATGACCATATGAAGGGAAAAGGAGTAGTTGATGGAGTATACGACCGGTCAGTGCATAAGGTGATTGTTATCGCCCATGCCCCATGGCCTCCACCGGTGGAGGGCATCTTGGCGATACCGGTGGATGGAGCTTTTTGCGCAAATGAGAAAGATGCAGGGGTGATTATCCACGACTCGGCTGGCGACCTTGGCCTTGCAGCCTGTAAATTCATGGCTAGGTGTGGAGATTCTCTTGAAGCAGAGCTACTGGCTACCATGGAAGGAGTGCTTGCGGCCCGCACATATGTAGCAGGCTCGTTTGTCCTCCAAACGGACTGCTCAAATCTGATAAAGATACTGAATAATCTGCCAAAACAAGTCACGGGTAGGCTAGCTGGTTAAAGAGTTGAATGATCTATTCGTTGAAGTGAGGGAGCTGAATATCATGAGAATAGATAGAAATCAGAGTAGGGTTGCAGATTTCCCAGCTAAATCGTCACGCTCAGAGCATCTCTTGGGTGAAGGTACAGTAGTTGGCGCCTAAAGGGGCAATTAAATCATAGCCGTCGGATAGAGATCTGACACGGGCTACATCATCTGCTTCACTTGAGCGGGTGACGGTTCACCAGTGCATCTCGACTGTTGATTCTTGAACTGGACGATTTCGTTGGATGTAGCTCTTTTCGGAAGGGAAACAGTAACTGAAGGTGTCATATTCTTCAGATATTCAGACGAGGCCTGGCATGATATCACTAATATTTTGGTTTGTATCTGAAAAGATAGAGATATAATCTGTAGAACTGTTGAGCAGTCTGTTGTATAATTCAAACATATTTTGTTTTCACTGGGTCGCTGCAAGGGGGAAAAATGGAGGGAGGATAGTCCCCGTAGTCTCTGAGAAGGAAACCAGAATTCATGTAGTAATTCTGCGCCGTCAAGAGCCTTCCATTGGAAGAAACCCAAATGATTTAGCAATTTACATGCAGAGGCCCTACCCGTGACATATAAATTCCCAGGATCCATCGTTCCGAGCAAACTAACCATCGGTTCCTTCTCCCTCTCCGACGTCACCGAGTTCAAGACTTCAAGGTACGCGAGCAGTTGATCTTCTCATCTCTCTGCCTAGACTCGTCATTGGTCTCACTCTCATCTCTAAACCCTACCTAGTACGCTACATCCATGCATCGATGGATTAAATTTGGGGAGGTTGCGCATGACTGATAAGATCTGTGCTCCCTGGGTTTATAACATAGTATTAGTACTGATCTGAACAATGTTCCTCACCAAGACATGCGTATCGTTAACTGTATTAGTCGGAGAGATATTTCTTACTCGTGCAACAACTATTCTCCCTAGTAATTGTTGTACTATCCGCCCCCCCAAACTGCTGATGCTTGGTGCTCTCATTCAACAGATGAAGATCTCCGTCCAGACCCTCGCTGGCAAGACGATCACCGTCACAGTCGACCCCTCAGACACCATCAACGTTGTCAGATCAGCAGCCCCTTGTCTATGTCAAGAAGGGGCTAAAAGGCAGGCACACTCTGGCTGACTACGATATTCAGGATGGATTCACTCTTCACCTCGGTCTGCGATGTCATAGAAAGAGGAAGCAGCCACGTGTCATACGTGGCGAACAACCCAAATTACTGAAAAAGAAGAGAAAAATATACCAAATCTTTGTCAACGGGCTTACCGGCAAAATCACTACCTATGATGTTGAGGACTCGAGTAACGTTGAAAGTATAAACGAAATGATCCACAAAAAGGAGGTGCTCCCGTGGACGAACAAAGGCTGATCTATGGTGGGAAACAGCTAGTGGATGGTCAGACCATGGAGGACTGTGGCATCCAGAAGGAGTCGACCATTCACCTGCTGCTCTGCCTCCGATAGTGCGGTGTATGTGTTGGGGAAATTAGCAATTTACGATAGTGCAGTGCATGAGGTGCATGCATGGCTGACAAGATATGTGCTTCCTGCGTTCATCTTAAGAAACGAGATTTCTCGCTGGGCTACCACCATACGTATATCAGAATCATTAGTTGTTGGATGAAGTTTGTCCGTGTTCAACTCCACTCCGGTTTAGTATATTTTGATTGGCTTTTCACTGGCTTGTGCCACAGGACAAGACAAACGGCACATAATATACATTTCGAACATACTGATTGTAGGTACGTAGCAAATAGTAGCACGCACTCGTGCGCTAGGTTTTTACACGACTAGAAAAATTGCAAACAGAAAATATTTGAAGCATGCTGAGGTGAAATCTGGGAAGCACTCCTTAATCAGCCGCGGATGCGGAGCACGAGGTGAATGATGTCCTGCTGCTTGATGCCATACTCCTCCAGGGTGCGAAAGTCCTCCATCTGTCTCGAGGCAAAGATCAGCCTTTGCAGGTCCACTGGAGTGTTCAACTCGATCTGGATCTTGTCCTTGACATTGTCGACGGTGTCCAAGTTCTCAACCTCAAGGGCGATGTCCTTGCCAGTCAATGCTTTAACTATGATTAGCATCTTCCTTCTTTGGGGGCGCAAATCAAGTTGTAGAGTGGATTTATCCTGAATGTCGTAATCGGCCAGAGTCAATCGGTCCTCCAGCTCCTCCCTGCCAAAGATAAGACACCGCTGATACTGAATCTTCGCCTTTACAATGTAGATGGTGTCCGATGGATCTACCTTGACGGTGATCCTATTGCCAGTGAGGGTCTTAACAAAGATCTCCATCTGTTGAACGAGAGAGCACCAAAAATTAGTTATTTCTATGGGCAGAGAGTAGAACCACACAGTGGGAAAAGTTGTTGTCGCAGAGTAAGAAATCTCGTTCATATTAACTACAAAGACTAATTAAGGGTGGCCTGGTGAAAAATCATTGTTCGGATCTGAATGGAATCAATATTAACATCCAAACTCTCATTGTTTATGTTGCCATTGAGCTATCTGAACAGAAAATCTGTTTGATTACACGACAGAGCTGTGTACTGCACAACAGATCTACGGGTTAGATATCTTTATCTTTTCAGAAACGAACCGAAAGATTAATGATATCATTATCAACCTGATCTAACTAATTTTAAGATCTGAAAAATGTTGGGGCTGGACAGCAACAATGTGCTGCACAAATTTATCGACACGGCAAATATGCACACTACGCAGCCCCCTTCACTTGTGATGAACTTTGAGGACAGCTTCAACCAATAAGTAAGCAGCGGAATAACACAAACAACATGCACATGCGACACATGATTTAACGTGGAAAAACCTCCTCAACTTGAGAAGTAAAATCCACGGCTGTGGACACCGATCCACGCAACTTTACTATGAGAATGATTAGTACAAAGTCTGCTCTAGAACCTCTAGAGAGATTTACAACACACTCTCCATGTTGCCAACCGGCAACAGCAACAACAACCACAAGAAGCAAGATTTCAGCAAAGCAGAGTTTACACAGTTTTTTGTACCCTTCAATATTTTGCAAACTGCTCTTAAATCGTTGAACCAAACAGCAGCAAATTTGGCAAATAAGTAGACACATGAGTTCTTGACATCCTTTCCAAATTTCAGTTCAATCGGACATCATTTGCCTATCGAAAATGTTCGTCTCCCAAAACTACTCTGTTGTGAAACAGCAGCAGTCAGAGATGACAAAACCACTCTCAGATCTAATGCTTCACTGGCCCAATCCTCAAACCAGCTAACCATATCGAAGTACTCAAAGTAAGGAACGAGCTCATCAAGTTTGGGGCCGATCCAAGCACATTTGAGCCTCCAACCATCAGCTTGAACACTATCTAGTCAGATGCAGCAAATCTGGACAGAACCTCTGCTTCTTCTTCTTCCTCCTCTCTCTCAGGTTGTGTTTTCTCTTGTGTGCTCTCACTCTCACTCTCACGAATGGCAGCCACCACCATCAAGAGTGGAGTGGATAGGGTTTTCTCCTTGCTCCCTTCGCCAGGAAATACTCACAACCGTTGGATGTAGAACAGATCAACGGTTCATATGTGTTGGACTTGTGTGGCCTGATGTTGGGCTACCAACACACCTCCATGTGGAGGGACTTAGCCCAACAAACTCCCCCTCCC